TGGACCAGAATACAATAATCTCTGCTCTTCTGCTGTTACAAAAACCAAGTAAGAAAAGATGCCAGAAATAAGCCAACTGACCTTTGCTGTTGGAATGCCCAGGATTACTATGAGTTTCCACATCAGTAAAATGGAACTAATAAGAGTTCCTACCTCATCAAATTGTTGTAAGAATTAAATCACATAATAGTTATAAAACAGTTCTGGCATTTTTCAAAGACTGGAAAAGATGAGGCTATTACATAATTGCTACTACTACTCTTATTGCTGCTGCTATTAATGACACTATTATCTCCATTAGTATTCTATCTTGCTACTTGGCTAAAAGACTCATGGGAAAGTAGAAAAGTTTTAAAGTGTAAGTCTTCTTTTTTTAAAAGATTTTATTTATTTGAGAGAAACAGAAAGCAAAAGAGAAAAAGCATGAGCAGGGGGAGGGGCAGAGGAAGAAGACGACTCCCCGCTGAGGGGTGGAGGGAGGGGGCAGAACAGAAGATGGAGAGAATCCCAAGCACACCACATTGAGTGCAGAGGCTGACGTGGGGTTCAGTCTCACAACCCTAAGATCATGACCTGAGCTGAAACCAAGAGTTGGACACTCAACCGACTGCACCACCCAGGCACCCCACTTTAAGGATTTTTTTTTTTTAAGATTGTATTTATTTATTTGACACACAGAGAGAAAAAGCACAAGAAGGGGGCAGGGCAGGCAGAAGGAGAAGCAGGCTCCCTGCTGAGCAGAGAGCTCAACCTGAGGCTCAATCCCAGGACTTTGGGATCATGACCTGAGCAAAAGGCAGCTGCCTAACCAACTGGGCCATCCAGGCACCCCTAGAGTATAAGTCTTCTTGAAGAGGATATCAGCATCACCAAGTCTAGAATTAGGGGAACCAGCAGTAGATTTCTTTTATATTTTTCCCTAATCCAAAATTGAACCCAAGTGCAGAAATCAAAAGCAAAATGCACCAGTCTCAGCTCAAGTTTTTCTGCTTTAAAAAATGTACTTCCGGAGGTGCCTGGCTGCCTCAGTTGGTAGAGCATAAGACTCCTGATCTCAGAGTCATGAGTTCAAGCCCCATGGGTTGGGTGTAGAGATTACTTTAGGAAATAAACACACACACACACACACACACACTTTGGGTTTTCTTACATACAGCAGGGTTAAAGAACCCTGTATTAAACTAAGAGAGAGAGAGAGAGAAAAGGAAGGAAGGGAAGGAAGGAAGGAAGGAAGAGGGAGGGAGGGAAGATGGAGGGAGAAGAAAGAAAGAAAGAGAGAGAGAGAGAGAAAGAAGAAAAGGGAGGGAGGAAGGGCAGAAGGAAGAGGAAAGGAAGGGGAGGAGAGGAGAGAAGAAATGTACTCTGGAAAGTATCAAAACATCTGCTAAATATCAGGAGCAACTGATGCACCTTGAAAACCTCGTACAAACTTCCAGACCAAGGATCCACTGGGGAAAATAAAACCAGCAATGCCAAATGTCTGTCCCTCTAACTGAGGCATATTACAGGAGGATCCGAAAAAAAAAAAAAAAATAGAACATTCAAAAATGATCAGAGCAAATATAAGAAAGTTGGCTGACTAAAGCAAAGCATTTTTTATGTGAGGAAAAGGAGAACAATTATTTCCAAACTGTTCAGTCTCTCAAGAAGCTGTCTCAGGAGACAGGAAACATAGTTGGATGCCACAGTGTCCAGCCTCCCCATATGGCTGGCCTTTGAAAGTAGGGGATCAGTCACACACTGCTTTCCCCTAGGCCTGGGAGGACCCTGGGGGTGGGGAGCCAAAGCTTGCTAATCACTAGGAGGATGCCTGGGTGGCCCAGTTGGTTAAGGGTCTGCCTTAGGCTCAGGTCATGATCTCAGGGTCCTGGGATCAAGTCCAGCATCGGCTCCTTGCTCAGCAGGGAGCCTGCTTCTCCCTCTGCCTGATGCTCCCCCTGCTTGTACTCTCCTCTCTCTCTCTCTGACAAATAAATAGATAAAATAAAATTTTTAAAAAAGATAATCACTAGGAACTTCAGAGTCACCACAGAAGAGTTAGCAAAAGAGAGAAGGGCAGGAGGCTGTGCGGGAGGGTGTGGCAATGGCTGACAGAGTCCTACCCAGCCCTCAAGTCCCCCAACTCAAGACTTGGTCTAGTACTTCATGGTAGAGACAGGTACTATCACACAGGAATACCCATGTCTCCCCTCACTAAACCTATCAGCCTCCTAGCATGAGCTCTGACATGGGTAGCCCTCCCTACCATCAAATGGATGAAAAACCCTGTTCCCAGCTGGGACTCCTGAGACCTAAGCCCAGGATCCCAGGGTCCCCACCCTCTCACCTTGTCAGAAACACTGCTCCAGGAACTGTCCCATCTCTTTCCTGCATCATCTATTTCATTCCCAGCAGAATAGAACATGTTCTACTCTCTCCCACTAAAAAAAGACTCCCCGCTGCCACATCAAACCCAAAACCTCCCCAATTCCCAGCTAATGTTTCCAACCTGCTCCCTAACAAAACTGCCTGAAAGATTCGCCTACGCTTACTGACCCCAATTCTGCACCCCGTATTTTTCCCCTCCACCTACTCTAATCAGGTTCTGTCCTTTAAGCTTCTGTGAACCTCTCATTCTACTGGGGTTCCTCCTACCTTCTCAGTTCTCCTTTGCTGGATCCACCTCTTTTCCTAACCTCTAAATGCTGTGTCTCAAGGCTTAGGTCATTCTTCTGTCTACACACGCTTCCAAGGTGAGTTCAACTGATCCTGTGGGCTGAACACCATCTACCATACCCAAATACACCTTTGCAGTTCTCTCTCTCTCTCTTTTCTGAGCTTCAGGATCCATCCATCTGCCTAGTGGACATACTCATATCTCAAACCTCTCAGATCTCATGCTTTCCCCCACAGCAAACCTGCTCCTCCCAGCCCACCCATCTGAAGATATAAGTACCATCCACTCAGGTGCTCAAGCCTCTCGGAGTCATCTCTGACCCTTTTCTTTCTCTCACAGACTGCATCCAGATCATCAAGCCTGAATCTGACCACTTCAGAGGAAAACATGTCCAGTGCTACACCCTTAGTCAAGTCATCAGCAACAGACTGCTACTACTATCCTGCCCACTACACTTGCCCACCTCCACACAGCCCACTCTACAGCAGGGAGAATGATCTTCCTAAAAATGCACACCAAATCCTTGCTCCCCCACTTCAAACCCTCCAGTGATTTCTCCCTAGGCTTAGGATAAAGTTTAAAAACCCTTTACCCTGGCTCATAAAGTCCTACACCATTTGCTCTCTCCTACCTGTAACCTCTTCTTCCCTTGCAACCTCCTCCCTTGCTCACCACATTCCAGCCTCTCCACTCTGGACTTGAAGCTCTTCCTGCCTTCAAGCCCTTGCACTGGCTGGTCTCTTGGGGATATGCTTTGCCATCTCATCAACACAAGGATGGCTCTCTCCTGACATTCAAATTTTACCTTAAATGTCACCTATTCAGAAACACCACCACAGACCTCTCAATCCAACACCACCGCTTAATATCCCATTATCTTATCTTAATATTCTGCACAGTAGTTATCGCTGACACTATTCTTGGTTTTTTAATTTATTTTCTGCTCCCTCTCCCCACCAGACTGCAAGCTCCACGACCATCCAGATGTTGTCTGCCTCATTCAGGTCTGTGGTTCCAATGACTAAAACGATGTGCGGCACACAAGGAGAAATCTAATAAACATCAATGAATGCAGTTATGAGCAGACAGGTCCACTGACTGAGAGGTTCTGAGGTCTTAGCCAGCTCCCCAACTTCTCTCTCAAACACAGATGTGAGGCAGGACCCCAGCCACGGTCCTAGAGTCCACCTGCATAAAGCTCATCCACCAGAATTTCGAACATCCTGCAAGAGCCCAAACTAGGGAGGGAGGATCCAGGATTTTCTGAGACCACCGAACTCCGACTAGGCTGTTCCGCTACTGCCTAGCAGTGTTTTCGGTTGGTGAAAAAGGAATTCTGACTCACAGCCCTCAGAAGTAACAGTATTTGTCAGACCACCGTCCAGACCTTGGCTAGTCCATTCATTCCGTAAACAAAGATTTACTCAGTGCCTTCTCTGTGCCAGGCACCGGGCAAAGCAGCTTCCGACCGCAGGGAGCTGACTGGCAACCACGCAGAGCTTTGCAGAGAAACGCAGCAACACAGGTAAAGCCCCGGGGCGAGACGGAACAGCCGTACTAGTTCGGGGCTGCAGGACGCTCTCGCGTACTGCCCCACGATTTCACCCCTACAGACCCAGGTCTGCGGTAACCTTGCTAGTGGTGCAATGCTCGCGGGCTTTTTCTGAACTACCGCTTGCTAGCGGAGGCTGGAGTGACTGTCCCCGTGGACCACCGGCTTTCCCAGACGCGCAGCGTTCGAGGAATATTATTGGCTGATGGGTTCCCTCCCCACCGCCACCACTCCCCCCCCCGCAACGCAGGCCCGCGCTCTGGATGGCGAGGGGGGTGCGGTTCCGACTCTCCACCACCACCCCAGTCAACAAAGTCGAAGACCAAGTCCTCCCCACTCGAGATGCTCTCCGTCTCTATTCCCCACTCCCCAGCCCCCAGCTCCCGGACCCCGGACGCAACAATTATTTCCACTCTCCCCACCCCCGCCCACAGCGGCGGGTCCCGGCCGGGATCCGTGCCTGCATCCGACCCCGGCGGGGAGGCGTGTCCTGCCCCTCACACCCGCGCCCGAATTCCGCCCAACTGCAGGACCGTGGTGGGGGGGGCAGTTTGCGGCCCCCGCCCCATCTGCGGCCCGGACTGCGGCCCCCCGCGGAGATGCGGGCCCCGCCGCCCGGTTTCCCGGAGCCCGCCACATAACTCCGGCACACAAAACCCCACAGCAGCGCGGCCTCGGCGCTCTGCGCGCCAACTCGCCCCGGACCCGCGCGGAAGGCGGGGGGCGGGCGCGCGCGGCGGGAACCGGTCGGATCCCGCCGCACAGGTGCGTCGCGGCGACCGGGTCACTCACTCGATGAAGTAGCTGGCTCCCTCCTCCGTGAAGCCCTCCTCCCAGCCGCGGGGCAGGTCTGCGGAAATGCCAAAAAAGTCGGGTCAAACTTGAACCGCCCGAACGCGCGCCTCCCGAGCGCTGCCCCCCAACTCCACCGGCCCGGCTCCCACCTGAGCGGATCATGTGGCCGGAGTTGACTGGCTCCCCGGTGCGCGGGTGCAGCCAGGTTGTGCGGCGGAGCTCGTCACTGCGGGAGAGAGGTGCACCTGTTAGCGCCGCCGCCGCTCCGGGGACGCCCGCCCGGCCCCGCACCCCGCCCGGCCCCCGCCCACGCCCGCGTGCCCGCTTGCCCGCGTCGCACTTTATGAAGAAGACGCGGCCGTCCCGGCACACGCCATAGGACCAGTGCTCAGGTAAAGTGTCCCGCCCGACCGCCGCCGCCGCCATGTTCGCAGAGCGCCGAGCCGCCGCGGCCGCGGCGGGGCGGGGGAGAGGGGGCGGAGGCGGGGAAGGGGGAGGGGGAGGGGGCGGGGGAGGGGGAGGGGGAGGGGGAGGGGGGGCCGGAGGGGGCGGTGCGGGCGGCGGGCCCGCGGGCTCCGCTTGCGCGGGCGCGGGCCTAGGGCCCTTCATCCCCGCGCGCGGCGACGTCCCGGGAGTCTCGAGTCCCCGCACGGCCGCCGGAGTTCGTCGCCGCACGGTCCGACCGGGGCGCGGTGGCCGCGGCCTTTGTCCCCGCGCCTTCCCCGCCCCCAGCCCGCCGTCCGGGCGCGCCCGCCGCTCGCCCCTTGGCCCCTGAGGCCGGGAGACCCGGGCGGGGCCAAGAACCAATGTCGGGGCGCCGCGGGCAAACTCCGGAAAAAAAGGTGCGCCCCGAGTGCTCCAGGGCACCCCAGCCGACCCCCATGATAGACCTTCTGCCTCGGGGAACTGTACTTCTCTCTGAACCGTGCAAACCTAAACAGGTTGCATCCATATTGCGAGCCTCGGTTTGTTCCTTCCCTGTAAAAGTTACTAGTAAGTACCACAAGGGATTGTTGTGCTGGCTATATGAAATTACAGTGGTGTAAAGTGCTTAAAGGACCCTGGCCTGGAGCAGGTGCTCTGTTATTAACGCCAGGGCAAGCATGATTTCATTTTCCTAGGTTTGCAGCTCAGATATGAAGCAGGAGGGTGCAGGTTCTCAAACCCCACTTACACCACACTCAGTCCTGAAGTTACCGGGATCTTGGGCTTGTGCCTTTAGTTCTTATCAAGTGACAGAAAAAGAGACAACGCTGTGGACCCGCTGCATCTCAGTTTATTTTTAGAAGAGCAGACCCACCAGACTGGGCCTCTAGTGGGGCATCTGGAAAGTTCTTTACATAGCTGGAGCCTTCTCATAGTCAGGCTTGTGGTCGAATCTCAGTTCTTGGGGGATCCGTCCCCTGGCCTCTTTGTCCAAAGGAGACCCTTTCCCTCCTCCCTTCACTATCCGTTCCATTACTTGTGTACACTTCATTGACATTCTTAGGCATGTGTGTGTGTTCATTGACTATGTTGTATGTCACCCACCTGCACACACACTAAAATTTCAGCGGAATGAGAGGCGGGACCTTGTTCTTATATACTGCCACATTTCCAGTGCTTAGAGCAGTGCCTGACTCATGTACACATTCAATAAATGCTGAAAAAGTGCATAATACCCACTCCACACTGACACCCCTGTATGCTGAGCATGGACAGAGGGGAAACTGGGCTCTGGGAGAGGTCCAGCCCAACCTTCCAGTGGTATAGGCTGTAGTTGGTGGAAAGATTCCCAGGAGGCTCTAGGTAGTATGGGCACTGTTATTCAGAAAGGCATCCCAGGTGGAAATCAGTTAGGCCCAGAAGGAGTGGTCAGGTTTGACTGAGAACAGAGCATCCCAGAGGGGAAGGATAGAAGACATTTGGGAATGTCATGGGAAGGGTGTGGGATGCTGAGACCATAACAATGTCCTTCCTTGAGACAGACAGTGGTTTTGGGGAAGGAGTCTGATATGAGTTAGAAAGAGGGAGTTGGTGTGATTGTGGAGACCACCGAACACCTGTTTGAGAGGGCCTCTGGCCTTTGAGGAGGATCTTGAGCAAATGATAATGAGAAAGCTGAGTTTTTATTTTTAAATATTAATTTAAAATAATAATGAAATGGGCAAAGGATATGAACACAGTTCATAGAAAAGTAATACAAGTGGCTTCTAAACAAATGAAAAGACACTCAACCACCTCAATAACAGATTACAATTAAGGCGAGATACTATATTTTAGATAGCAGATTGGCAAAAATGAGCATTGTAGAAAAAGACATTCATTGTTGGTGGGACTATAATATGGCTGTCTCTTTGAAGGCAAATTGGCAAGAGCTATTACAATTTAAATGCATATACCTTTTGACCTAGCAATTCCACTACTAGAAATTTGTCTTACATTTGTGCTCACGTAGAAACACAAAGACCTGTGTACCAGGGTATCCACTGCAGCATTGTCAATAGTTACAAAAGACTGGACACAACTAAATGTCAAAAAAGAACAAGTTTATATGGTGATGGACATTAACTAGACTTATTGTGGTGATATTTTGCAGTGTATACAAATACTGAATCCTTGTGTGGTGTACCTGAAACTAATATAATGTCGTCTGTCAATCATGCCTCAATTTAAATGGAAAAGAACAGGTTAATTAAATTATGTCGTACTCCTAAAATGAGATGCTATTCAGCTGTTAAAAAGAATGAGCTAGGGGCGCCTGGGTGGCTCAGTGGGTTAAGCCTCTGCCTTTGGCTCAGGTCATGATCTCAGGGTCCTGGGATCGAGCCCCGCATCGGGCTCTCTGCTCAGCAGGGAGCCTGCCTCCCCTTCCCTCTCTGCCTGCCTCTCTGCCTACTTGTGATCTCTCTTTCTGTCAAATAAATAAATAAAATCTTTAAAAAATTAAAAAAAAAAAGAATGAGCTAGCAGTGAAAAAGAAAAGAAAAATAAGTGAAATATATTTCTTTACAATATAAGCTGTCTGTTAGGGAATTTCTTATGCCATTGGTACTTATGGATCATTAGCATTTTGGCCAACTGTGGACATTTTCTGTGCAGATATCGTCGGTGAAAAAGAGTGCTATAGGCGGGTATGGTGAGGAAGGGTGAATAGGTAGAGCACAGAAGATTTTTAGGGCAATAAGAATACTTAGTACACTATTATAATAATGGGCACATGTCATTACATTTATCCAAAGCTGTAGAATGGATAGCACCTGGAATGAACCCTGAGGTTCACTGTGGACCTTGGGTGCTTACGATGTGTCAGTGTAGGTTCATCCTGGTTGAATAAGGTACCATTCTGTAAGTGATGCTGATGATGGGGGGAAGCTTTGTGTGTTGGGGGGATGCAGGGAGCATATGGGAAGTCTCTGTGCTTTCCTCTTACTTCTACTGTGAACCTAAAACTGTGCTAAATAAAGTCTAGAAATAAAATAATTAATTTTTAAAAATGAGCTCAATGTCTATGTACTGATGTGGAATGGTCTCCAAGATATTAAGTGGAATACGAGATGCATAACTGAGTATATGGTACACTACTCTTAATGTATAGGGAGCATCATGGCTGAAGAAGATACCCCTTGTTTGTGTCCCCATCCACCCCCAGCAACAATAATTTTGCTTCCATCCATAGACAAAAGTGATTTCCTGGGAGCTGTGGGATCTGGTACCGTATGTCAAGGGACCTGGGAAGACTCTCACCCACATGTTGCATTGGGCAATGGGCATACACACCGTAGTCCCCACTGTGGACCTTGCAGTGGCCCATGAATCAACCCCAGCTCGCCTCAGCCAGGAGCTCCTGGAAAGCACTGCCTTAGACAATCACTTATGGCTGAGAGAGTCTTTGCAGAAGTCCAGGTATCCAGCAAAGAAGTTCCAGCACACTGCTGGAGGAAAAAACACAAGTTTAGATCCACTGAAGAAGGCAGTTAGTAAAAACTGGAGGAGGTGACTGATCGTTCAAATAAAGAGTCAGCAATACAAAACTTCAAGGAATGTGCAACATAGATCACAATAATCTTTCAGTAACCAATCCCAATATGCGGACCTGCAATTTACTCAATAGATAATTTGAAATACCTGTTTTAAGGAAACTCAATGAGCTAAAGGAAAACACAGAAAGACAATCCAATGAAATCAGGAAAACAATACGTGAACAAAATGAGAAGTTCAACAAAGACAAAGAAATCATAAAAAAGAACCAAACAAAAATTCTGGAGCTGAAGCTACAATGAATGAAATGAAAATACAATAGAAACCACCAACAGTGGGCACCTGGGTGGCACAGTCGGTTAAGCCCCAGACTCAGGTTTTGGCTCAGATGGTGATCTCAGGGTTATGAGACAGAGCCCTGTATCTCACTGTGCTCAGCTCTGAGTCGGCTTAGGACTCTCCCTCTCTCTATGCCCCTCCCTCTCTCCACTCCCTCAAATAAATAAATAAATCTAAAAAAAAAAAAATTAACATTAAGGATGGATCAAGAAGAAAGAATCAATGAGTTAGAAATATAGTAACTTTGAAACTATCCAGCCAGAGGAGAACAAAGAAAAAAGAATGAAAAAGAATGAAGACGGGCACCTGGGTGGCTCAGTGGGTTAAAGCCTCTGCCTTCGGCTCGGGTCATGATCTCAGGGTCCTGGGATCGAGCCCCGCATCGGGCTCTCTGCTCAGCAGGGAGCCTGCTTCCCCCCACACCCTGCCTCTGCCTGCTGCTCTGCCTACTTGTGACCTCTCTCTATCAAATAAATAAATAAATAAAAATCTTAAAAAAAAAAAGACAGCTTGCATGAATTATGGCATACCATCCAAACAAATAATTTATGCATTACAGAGTTCCAGAGGGAGATGGGAGAAGAAAGCTTATTTAAAGAAATAATGGCTAAGAACAGCCCAAATCTGGCAAGAGGTTTGGATATCCAAGTTCAAGAACTAATAAAAAAAGACAAAGAAAGAGTCTTAAAAGTAGGAAGAGAAAAGAAGCTTGTAACTTACTAGGAACCCCCATGAGGCTATCAGCAGATTTCTTAACGGAAGCCTCAGAGGCTAGGAAACAATGAGATGATATATTCAAACTGCTAAAACAAAAACAAAACAAACAAAACAACCAACCAAGAATACTCTCTCTGGCAAAGTTATCCTTCAGAAATGAAGGAGAAATTTAAAATTTCGCAGAAAAACAAAAGGGAATCCATTACTGCTAGACCTGACTTAAAAGAAATGCTGGGGCCACCTGGGTGGCTCAGTGAGTTAGGCCTCTGCCTTCGACTCGGGTCATGATCTCAGGGTCCTGGGATAGAGTCCCGCATCGGGCTCTCTGCTCAACAGGGAGCCTGCTTCCTCCTCTTTCTGCCTGCCTCTCTGCCTACTTGTGATCTCTCTCTGCCAAATAAAATTTAAAAAAAAAATGCTGAAA